GCCACAAATGTTGGGATCTGAACTTCTCCAGAGTTATGTTGGAGGATTCAGATCTCTGGGTTTCATACACATTCCTCTCTAAAATGAACAATGTCATGGTGTAACAAAAGTTGTGGTTTCCTTTGGAAAAATGGTGTTTTGCAGCATAACATAATAATAGGAATCTTGATTTATGAATCTTATGGTCCTGTCACGGACCACAAAACTAGGAGCCCTAAAAGCTCAAGTAATTTTCACAGGCTCCATAGGGTTGCAGGCAAGTCTTAACCTAGCTGACTTGATTTTCCCATCTTTCATAGACTTTCATAGACATTAGGACTGGAAGGGACCTTAGGAAATCGAGTCCAGCCCCCTGCCCCAAGGGCAGGAAGTCAGTAGGGGTCATAGGATCCCAGCAAGGTAAACATCCAATTGTCTCTTGAAGGCATTCAAAGTAGGTGCTTGAACTGCCTCCGGCGGCAGTCTATTCCAAACCTTGTGGGCTTGGACAGTAAAGAAGTTCTTCCTTATGTCCAGCCTGAAATGGTCATGGAGGAGTTTGTGACCATTTGATTTTGTCATCCCTTGGGGCACTCTGCTGAACAGACATTACCCCAGATCCTGGTGAGCACTCCTGATAAACTTATAGCTGGCCAGCAGATCACCCCTTTTTCCAGGCTGAAGAGTCCCATGGCTCTCAGCCTCTCATCATAAGGTCTGTTTTCCTGACCCTTGATCAGGCGTGTGTCTCTGCACTCTCTCAAGCGTCTCCACATCCTATTTGAATTGTGGAGCCCAAAACTGGATGCAGTTGTTTTGGTTGTACTTTAAAATAGTATAGCCACCTGGTACCTGGAGGTCCATTGGAGGTTGAATTAGGTAGGCACAAATCTTCAACAGCAGATATTTAAGTGTGTAACTCCCATCAGTGTTACTGAAACTTAGAAGCTTAGGCATAAAATAGGCACCTAGGCTGCTTGCAGACTGTGACGGGGGGCCAATTTAGGGCTGGGCCCACCTGTCTCTGTAGAGCAGTCTGCCCAGTCTCATCTACCATGACTTACTGTTCCAAAAACTGGTGTAAAATGCAAGAGGCTGCCCATTTTACTACCTCAGTGCCAGGGAGCACTGTACATGACTCCAACCTTCCCTTATCATGTCCCATGCATTACAGATGGCATTCAAAACAAGTTCATAGATTAATAGATGCTAGGGTCAGAAGGGACCTCAACAGATCATCGAGTCCAACCCCCTGCCTAGGCAGGAAAGAGGGCTGGGGTCAGACAGCCCCAGCCAGATGCCTATCCAGCCTTCTCTTAAAGACCCCCAAGGTAGGGGAGAGCACCACCTCCCTTGGAAGCCCGTTCCAAATTTTGGCCACCCTTACTGTGAAGAAGTTTTTCCTGATACCTAGCCTAAATCTTCTCTGTCAGTTTGTGACAATTGTTCCTTGTTAACCCAAGAGGCGTCCTGGTGAACACAGCATCTCTGATCCCTTGCTGCATCCCCCTAATGAATTTGTAGGCAACCACAAGATAATCTCTCAGCCTTCTCTTGTGGAGGCTGAAGAGGTCCCGGTCCCTCAGTCTCTTCTCATAGGGTTTGTCCTGTAAGCCCCTAACCATACAAGTGGCCCTCCTCTGGACCCTCTCAAGTCTATCAACATCCTTCTTGAAGTACAGCACCTAGAACTGGACGCAGTACTCCAACTGCGGTGTGACCAATGCTGCATAGAGGGGAATTATCACCTCCTTGGTGGTATTTGTCATGCATCTGCTGATGCATGATAAAGTGTGGTTAGCTTTGCTGATAATTTCGTCACACTGACAACTCTTGTTCATCTTGGAGTCCACTATGACTCCAAGATCCCTTTCCACTTACGTGCTGCTGAGAGGGTCACTTCCCAGCCAGTAGGTGTTCTGGATATTTTTGCACCCTAGGCACAGCACTCTGCACTTGTCCTTGTTGTACTGCATCATATTATGTACTGCCCACTTTTCTACCCTGTCCAGGTCTGTCTGCAATCGTTCCCTACCCTCTGGAGAGTGACCTTCACCCCACAATTTAGTATCATCCACAAACTTGGACAGAGTACACTTCACACCCATGTCCAAGTCAGTGATGAAGATATTGAAGAGTACAGGTCCAAGGACCAAACCCTGCGGGACCCCACTACCCACATCCTTCCGGGTTGATACCGACCCATCTACTACCACTCTCTGGGTGTGACTGCTAAGCCAATTTGCCACCCACCAGACTGTGAAATATCTGTCACAGCCTCTTAATTTATTATGAGAATGGGATGAGATACCATATCGAAGGCCTTGCTAAAATCCAAGTAAACGACATCCACCACTGCTCCTGCATCTAAGCACTTTGTGATCCTGTCATAAAACGAAACCAGATTGGCCAGGCATGATCTATCTGCTATGAATCCATGCTGGTTTCCCCGCTGCATTATTTTTCCTGCTGGACTCGCACAAATATGATCCTTCATAATCTTTTCAAAGACCTTTCCAAGGATGGAGGTGAGACTGACTGGCCTATAATTATTTGGATCCTCCTTCCTCCCATTCTTGAAAATAGGGAACACATTGGCCCTTTTCCAGTCCTCTGGGACCTGACCCAAGTGCCAAAAAATTCTTAACCTTTGACCCAAATTCAGCCTCACCACATCTGAGGACTTAACAGAGTCTAGGCCTCTGGTCCAACTGTGGCCTTGGGCATCTGTAGACTTACTTTGGCCTAACTGGCCCCTTCATGGGACTTCCCACATATGCCCTCTCACTGGGGCCTCCCTCACTGGGCCCTCTGGGGTCCATAGATGTGCCTAGCCCCTGTGCCTGTTGCTAGGTCTGGGTAACCCACCAGGACGTGGGGGCTGGGGTTTTAAGGCACCCCTCCGTGCCTTTCACTGGGGAGGCAACTGGCCTGACATTTCTGGGGAGCTCCCCTGCCACAGGTAGCCCCACCAGACCATCCTTCCCCAGCAGGGTGCAGTTTTCAGTCATACCCAGGACCAATGCAGGCTTGTTTGCCTTGGTCTTATCCCTACTGGGCTATATGTCATTTCTGGGCTGCTCTCTCTACTGGACCTTCTGTTCCAGCCTCCTACAGCTGGCTGCCTCTCACTGGCTCAGTTCTCCAAACCCCACATTGGGTGCCTCCCTTCCAGAGGCTGAATTTTAGCCTCCTTCATTTCACTCTGCTCTCTCACTGAGCCTTTCTTCCCCTTGACAGTGATGTCCCCCACACTGAGGGGACCTTCAGCCCCCTTAAGCTCTGGCCCCACCTCCGGGCCAGTCAGGGTGCAAGATAGCTCATCATGGCCTCGGCCTGCCCCTCACATTGGGCTTAATTGCCCTTCGGCCTTCCAGCCCTGGCCCCCTTGCATTGACCAGTTGGGTTTTGTTGGTCTCAACCCTGCAGCAGCTGACCTCCTTAGACAACAGGGGTTCCCTTCTGGGCCCCACCATACAGCCATCTCACACTAGGTTTGCTCTAGTCACAGAGACCTTAATACCACCGCTCTCCTCTCGACTGGACTCATCCCTGCCTGTTCTAAATCAGGGGCTTGCCTAGCCCATATGTAGGCCCGCAAGTTGTGAGCCCCTATTTTGGCCTGGACCTTGCTCTCTCTAGGCCCAAGCCTTCTTTGTGGGACTTGGGGGCTCACTGGGCCCCCAGGAACCTCCTGCCATCCCCATAGTTCCACCTTGACTGCCAAGGTGTTGTGAGCAGCAGCTCAGCCAGGTGTTGTTGTTCTGGCTTCAGCAGCAGACTGGAGGCTGCTAAGCCCTCTCCTCCAATCCCAGGACCCTCCTGGGGTCATCTGACTGCCTCATTAGGGCTAGCCCACACCTGCAGGCTGCCTGTTCTCAAACCTTGAAGTCGCAGGCACCCAAAGTGCTTTCCCACACAGGCATTAAAAACACCCAAACAAACGGTGCTTTACTTTAAACTCTGTATGCCCCCGCACCAAGCCCAGCACATGCCCAGAAGAGGTATTGCATTAGTTGGACCTGGCTCATCCAACATATGTATAGATCAGGCATGGGCGACTGGTTCCACTTTAGTCAGGGGGGGGGGCGGGCCCCCCCCCCCCCCCCCCCCCCCCGGCGACGAATCAGTGATTGGGGGAAGTGTGTGTGTGTGTCCGCCCCCGTGACCAATCTTGCCAACTGGGGGGGGTTCCCCCCACGGCCAATTCCGCTGACCAGGAAGCAGCTGTGGCACTCCTGGAAGTGGCTGCAGGGCTTCATCCAGGCGTTCCCACTCCCCAGCCAGTACTCGCAGGGGGGACACCAGTGCTTCTGCCTGCCCCCCCTGCCCATTGCCTAAGCAGGGAGTGCAGCTTGTCAGGGGTGCACCAGCGCTCAGGGGCTGCACGTGCACCTTCCTGCACCCCCTATGCATCGCCACTGGATCAGGTGCTTTAGTGGGGCTTTTTTGCCTCTTAAATCTAATTGCATCTAATTGCTGATTGATAAAAGTGCCAAAAAGCCTCACAGAAGCACCTGGTCTATACAGGCACTGCAGAGCCAGGTCAAAGTAACGTGTTACTTCTTCCGGTAAAACGTGTTTTGGGGGGGTGGGGTTTAAACGTCTGCAAGCAGCCCTATATGCCTTTGAGGATCTGGGCCAAAGTGCTTATGGAGCTTTATAAATGGGACTTGTCAGAATGCAGTGCAGTCAGAAATGTTACTTTTGTTGTATAAGTAAAAAGTAGCTTTTTACTAATGTGTTTTCAGAATATTTCCTGGTTAAAATGAGTAGCTCGTGAGTAGCTTCAAAAGGTCAAGTGGGTCCAAAATTAGTTTGTTCCTTCTGCTCCCAAGTTTTTTTTTAAATGTCTTTTAAATGCAAGTAATCTGAATTGCACTCACAGAGAATATTGGATTGTATAATTAGCCATATGCTTCTTGCATTGTCAGAAATGGAAGTGGAGTGTTTATCTCTGACATTGTTAAAGGAGGCGCTGCAGACCTTGATGGGAGATTAATTCAAGGAGATCAGATCTTATCTGTTAATGGAGAGGATATGAGAAATGCCTCGCAAGAGATTGTTGCCACTATACTCAAGGTGAGTACATAATACATTCTTAGATATTAAATTGCAGTTACTGACATTGTGCAAGGTAATTATCTTGGAGAGCTATTTGTGCACAGACAGGACAACCTGAAACCGATTATGAAGACAGAAATGTGATCTAAAATTACATTGGGAGGTTCATTTAGATTTAGCTCTACATGTGTATTTATGTAGTGTACAGTGGCAAAAATGAAGATACATATATTGTTTAGGCATTTATTTCAGAACCCAACCATTTATTTCAAGAGTTAGAAAAATGTTATGAAAGTTGAAAGGCATATAACTGAAACTGAGTCAGATTGAAGCTATCCCTAGCAGCCACCGAACTGAAGCATAAACCTGGCTTTCCTTGTTAGTTAGTGCTTTTGTACTGAATGATTTGGAACTGGATCCTGACTAGAAATATATCTAGGTCAAGGGCAGGCCTACTTAAGGAGAGCCTGCTACTCCAGAACTATGTGGAAACACTTTCTTAATGGGTTTGCAGGAAAAGGGTGTAGGTGGGGAAAGAATGCAGGTTACTAGTAGGTCCATAAGATCCATTGGGCCCTATAGTCTGTTTTGAGAATGACCATTACCTACAGCCTCCTACCACTGTTGTCTACCTCAAACTGTGTTGAAAAGAGAGGGCTATGTTCACTGATATGCTCATGAAGAATCCTATTTAATTTTTTTTCCCCTTTTTTGAGGGGGTTATTTATTCAGGGTAGGGATTTGGCCCAAAGTTTACCCATGTAGATGTCAGACTTTAATAGCACAAGACGTTCTTATTAAATGGTGTCTATATGTTTTACGTTCAGATCTGCTCTGTTGAGCAGTTTCTTTCCTGCTGCCTTGTTTTTCACAGGTCTGGTTTGCTGCTGCTGCCTGTTACAAACTGTGCTGGCCTATTGTATTGATTCCAATCCCGAAGTGGCAGTATAGACACACCTGCTCAATATAGTGGGCTTTGAATTGGGCCCCAAGAACTTGTGGTTCAAATCAAAACAAATGAAATAGAAAATTTAAAGTTTTATGTGTTGTGCCTTGATGGTTTCTTCAAAAAGTTATCAAATAGTAGACCTGTGCGAAGCGGCTAGTATTCGCTTTGGATTTGGATTCGGCTAATTCGGGGGACAGTGATTAGATTCGGTGATTCGAATCGCTGTCCCCCGGGGCTTTTCTCGGCTTTTTTTCTTTTCTTAAAGGGCTGGAGCTGGTCTGGGCTGGGCACGCAGGGGGTGGGGGGCTCGTGCAGAGCCCCCCATGCAGCATGGGGCAGTGGGGAGCAGCAGGGATCACCCCCCTGCCCGGCAGCACCCAGTGAGCACCAGGGCTTGTTTTTAAAGGCCGGGAGCTGGGGCAGGTGGGGGCAATCATGAGGTCGCTGGGGGAGCAGGCAGGGATGGGGTGGTGAGACTGGCAGGAGTCCCCCCATGGTCCCCTCCCCCAGTCTCCCCTCCCCTGCCCCTAGTACTTACCAGCTTGGAGTCAGGGAGCTGCAGCAGCCACCGGGGACTGCCCGAATCATCAAAGCTCTCTGAATCTTTTCTGAAGATTCGGAGAGCTTTGAATCGATTTGGACCTTTAAATTGGTCCCCAGATTTGATTTGGATTCAGAGATCGGTCACCGAATTGGGCCAGATCTCCTCTGAATCGAATCACAACCTGAAGCTTCACAGAACCCTACCAAATAGATGTGGAATAGATGTTGGAAATCAGGTGTGAATATGTATGGGAGAGCAGACATACGATGTCCCAATTTAAATACTGTATATTGTATTTTATTCCAAGTGTGCCCAAGGGCTGGTGCACCTAGAGATTGGAAGACTGAGAGCTGGTTCTTGGATATCATCGCGAAAAACCGCACAAAGCAATCAGGTTAGTGAGGTTTTTTTCCACAGACAATGAAGCTGCTGCAGAGCTGTAAAGGTTGTGGGTAAGGATCCCTCCATCTGAGCAAACTTACTGGATCAGGGACGTGGACTGGAGTATTTTATCACATTGATATGCTTTTTTAGGAGAGTGAAACAACATGCATTGATCTGTCAGATGCTTAGAACAGGTGCTGTATACTTAATATTGGCTAAGTAGAGAAATGGCTCTTTTCTCAGTGTGTCTCTGGCTGAAACCTGTCAAAAACCTTTAGTCACTTCCCATCCGATAACCATGTTCAAAAAACCCATGCAAACCCCAGAACGCATTAATGTATTTTCCTGTAGCTATTTTTATAAACCAAATTGATTTAATGGTACTAAAGCATACCTTTGTCTACCTTATAATAGCACAGCTAAGTGAAAAATATTGCACTCAAAGAAAAAAGAGAGCATTTTACTGCTTCACTTATTCCCCCCAAAAGATGAAAAAGGTCAATATTTCAACCAGCGCTATCTTTTATGCCAGTTCTAAGATAGCCCTTAAGCTGTCGGTGCCATCAAAACTGACGTTTTGTGCCGAGCCTTAGAAAGTGGTTTTGTAGGATATTGTCCTCCATGAATTGAGATTTAGGTTGCTTCAGTCCCAGTGTCAAAATCCAATGTAAACAAAAGACGATGGCAGAAAAAAGCAGGGCGGCGCACATGGTAGCAGCGTGCACTGCACAAAACTGGAGCCTGGCTGGCCGGAGCCACGCTCTGGCTGCCAGCCAGGCTGTCCATGCACCTGGATCACTGCCCTGGAGCCCCAGGAGGCCCCCAGGACCTCAAATAAGGCTGCTGGGACTAGCCCAGATGCTGGCTTCAGCCTCCCTCACCCCACCCAAGACAACTTGCCTTGTCTCTCATTCCCTGGAGACCAGTAGCAGTGGCCAAAGTATGTACTGCTTCTATTTGTTCCCTGGGAAAGGCACATGCGCACTCATGTAGATGTGCCCTAAGCATCTATTAGTCAGATTGGGGTGGCAAGAGGGCAAGTGCTGGATATTGGGATTGTTGGAGTGGAGGTGGAGAGAAGAGAGGAGTGTACGAAATAACAAAGACAATTCCATAATCAGTTGGGGCCAACCTTTTTCGCAGGCATGCCACAAGCTAGCCCCACCTCCTCTGAGTACCATTCCAATCCCATTCCTTTGCTTGATCTGCTGCTCTGCTTTCTGCTCCCTGCCAATCCTGCCTGCCCCCTTCCCAATTTGCCATATGCCACATACATAGGTTACCCATGCCACTTGTGGCATGCATGCCACAGGTTGGCCATCCTGCTGTAAGTGCAGATTCAGAGAGAATGTGGAAGTAGTAAACCTGCATGGTGTTGCCTGTAAATTTGAAAGGCCAAGTCTCCACTTTAAACAGGGTGTAGTATTGATATGACAGTGGGTTCCGTTTTTCACTTTCTTCCCTCCTGATCAAAATAGGGATCTGGGATGGAGAAAGCTGCTGCACTTTATCATTCTCTGGTTGCAGTGTGGATGCACCTTTGAGAGAGGAAACGAAGCAACAATACTAATTAAATGTAAGGGTGAATAGTAGAGACCTAGGCAGGGGCAACAGGAACTATTAGAAACATGCTGAAGTACGTCAACTTATTTTTGATTCTCATTGTTTTTTGCTGAAACATGCTTATTTTTGTTAGATCACTGTCTTAACTTTTGCATCTGTGTCCAGAATTAGAAATCGTATGTGATTAAGAAAAAAAAAAAGAATAAATAATTAAAAGAAGGTTCTTGTCATTTCGTTTTTCTTGGAATGTCTTAGGCCGCATGTACTGGACATAGTAGCTCCATTAAAATGAGCATTTGGTTCAGAGAAAGGTAATAACGTTGGTAGATTAAAATGTGGCAGACATTGAGAAAAGCAAGTTCAAAACAAGAGTAAACGTATTTCTTTTTTGGAGAAGAAAAATCAGCGTTAATGGCAAGGGCAGCAGAGAGATGGAATTACCCTATATGTCATGCATGAATGCTGGAGGAGAGAGCCAAAAACAGTATTAGTGTGGGATGTTTTTTTAACTTTAGATTGTAAAGGACAGCAGCAATCCAATCTGTTGTTTGTGTAGATGAAATGTCAGTAGGAAGGAAGGAGCCATACCCACTTGGGAACATCTGCTCTAAGCCCCCCACTTTAAAAATAATCATTAAATATCATTGGAGAAACATCTGCACTGTGTGCAGAAGACCAGCAAAAGTGCAATAAAAGAAAAGGATACAACTGAGACGGCGCGTGCCCAATGAGCAGTGCTATTCTGCCAATTATGTGTCAGGTTGTTGTGCCAACAGCTCGTGTAAGCAGAGACAGTGCAGGTAGAAAGAGATGTAGAAAAAGTGTATATCAATTGCTGAAAAAAACATTTGAAAGGATGAAAAAACATCACAGGATCTATCAAGATTTTGTATGTCAAATTGGCTCAAAGGCTTTAATCCCTTTTTGTTTGCTAAGAATATTTTCAAGAACTCAAGGTAAAATTCTTCCAAATAATCCCATTTTCAAAAGTGGCTCGTCAAGCTTGAGAATATATCCTTTAGTGGATAGGTGTGTACCTAGAAAAAAGTCAGATAGTTATAAAAATCTCATCAAAAAACAGTGCATCAGCTTTGATTATCTGCACCAAAATCTGTAGGATTTTGGAAACTGCTGGACAAGACTGTTCAGAGGTTTGCCCCTCATATGTTTTTTGACCTATTGCATTCCTTTCTAAGTTTTGTAGTATAAGACAGTGACCGTTCGTGTTAATTTTAAGCTATGTTCAAATACCCACATTTTCATCAGTGTTTTTATTGACACCGTGAGACTGGGGACAAGGAGGAAACATTTGACTGAGTTCTGAAAATTGCCAGAGTAGATTCTTGAAATTCAAGACCAAAACTTTAACAGTAGAATTTAAATGTACACATTTCGGTATCTACAATTTGAAAAGCCTCAATCAATTGCAAATACTTAGAAAACATTTGAAAGCAGGGTTGTTTTTTCCACATGCTTTCCTATATAAATGTGTTTGACTTCAGTGGATCTATGTCATTTTATATCTCTGTAACTTTAAGATATACTGTAGATGAATTTTTAAAATTTTTCCATGCCAAACAATTTATACCCCAGTTTTCTAAACATTTAACTTTGCTGACTGTGCAAACAGATCTTAAATTACCACAAGTCATCTGTTTTCAAAGAGAGAATTTCAGATGCCATAACTTTATAAAATTATCCGGTGATGAATGTGTTTTGTAGATAAATAGAGATTTTGTGACAATCCATTTATAGAAATCCCTCATTTCCCCTACATGGCACTCTTCTCTGCATACAAACATTTGCCTTCCTGTAGTTCATATCTTGGCTCAGCCTGAACTATTCCATAGAAACATGTCTGGTCCACATGCTTTTACTTCTCAGCTTCATTCAGGCTGGTCTGCTGAGTTCTCCAGAGCTCCTGGTAATGAGTTCCCCATATACCCTAAGACGCACTAAACGCAATTCCCCTGGAAATTTTTCAGTATTGTGTGGACTGAAAAATCTATTTGACTAGATAATTTTTTCAGTGCAGTACATAGTAGATTTGGATAGAAATGAATAGTATACTAAATAATTTCTCACTTGCTTTAGCTCCAGTTGTCCAAATAACAAGAGGCCCTTTGTTTCACTTGCTTTTCTATCCCATCATATGTTTACTCTAGAGTTTTAGACTATAATATAGTATAACCCATGGACTGGACTCAAGTTAAAAATGTCCCTTCACAGTTTTTCTGCTTCTTTTCATAATCTCCAAAGTCAGTTTTCCAGTATTGAATAGATCATGCCCTGATGTCTCACTTTTAATCCCATTGCCCTCTGCTCTCACTGTCTGATCATTTAATATAAAGCGTATGTTTAGGAATATGTCTCAGACATCCAGGATGTACCATCAGCTAGAGAGGAACTCCTAGCAGGTAGTGATAGTAGAAGACAAGATCTGAGACCTGACAAAGTATAGAAAATACATTTAAAAGCTCTTTCCATCTTTTGTCCTTGGAGTGGCTTTATCTTAGTCCTAGCTAACAAATCCCTCATGAGGTTGTCAGTTATGAAAGGGCATTTTGAGTGGGTCTGCAAAATACCAGAATACTCCCTGCCTCCTCTGAAGTGTGACAGATTCCTGTCCCACACCACTTCAGGACAGGGCCCACCAGACAATTTTGGAGGAGACGATCAAGATTATAGAATCAGAAAATTAGGGTTGGAAAGGAACTTGGGAGGTCATCTAGTCCAATTCCCTGCTCAAAGCAGAACCATCCCCAGCTGTATCATCCCAGCCACAAAAACCATAGATCTTCTGAGATCCCTCTGGATTCTGGTGTTTGCTGAGGTCACAGGGTCATCTATCCGCAAGCCCTGTGCCTCTGCAGTAACTGTCGCTGCCTCCAGGTCCCAGACAGTATGATCCTGTTGCTCCCCCAACTTGGAACTCCTTTCAGTGGATAATTCACAGGCATGAAAAGGGCTCTATAGCCAGCTAATAACATATCCTGGCTGTATTAAATCACCCGTAGCAACCTCGCAAGCTGTGGATGAACAGTATAACCTCCTTGTCATCATCGACAATCCCTCATAGTCAAGGATAATTGTCTTCCATGATTGCTTTACCTCCCAAGATGATTGACAAGGCCAATCTAGGATCAACAGACTGTGTTGCAACTTGGGCACTTGTTTCCATGTGGGGTGGGTGGCTCTGGATTTTTTATTCAGTCCGCAGGATGCTGTTCCTTCTGTTCCCACATCTGTCTCCTGTTGTTGTTGTGAGGTTTCAAAGTACTGAGATCCTTGGAGCAGGCTCTTCCTCCATTTGGGGCAGTCTTGAGTGATAGTCTCCTCTGAGTTGATATTACATTTTTTTCAAGGTGGCCTTTAGGACATCCTAGACATGCTTTCTCCACCCTCCTCTTGAGCATACACCTTGATAAAGCTGAGAGAATAAAACTTGCTTTGGGAGTCTGGTGTCAGACATCTGGATGATGTGTCTGGCCCAGCAAAGTTGATAGATGATCATTACCTCAATGCTTAGGGTGTTTGCTTGCAAGAGGATGCTAATGTTGGTACAGCTGTCTTCCCATTGGATTTGAAGGATCTTCTGCAGGCAACATTGATGGTACTTCTCCAGTGACTTGAGGAGGGTCTTGTACATTGCCCATGTCTCAGCTCTGTACAGTAAAGTGGGGATCACAGCTGCTTGATAAACCATGAGCTTGGTTTTGGATCTGATGTCAAGATCTTCAGACCTCCATTTCCTCAGGCATCCGAAGGCTGCACTTACACTTTTGAAATGATGTGATGTTGCATTTCTTGGTCAATGCCAGCCTTCTGTGAGAGATGGTTTCTGAAGTACAGGAAATATTCAGTGTTCTCCAGAGTCTCACCATAAACCTGAATTAGTGGAGCTGGGATTGCTCATTAAGAGCTTGTTGATGAAGGACCTTAGTCTTCTGAAAGTTAAGTGTCAGTCCCATTTTCTTGCATGCCTTGATGAAGACATTGATGGTTGCCTGAGGTCTGCCTGTAAGTCAGCACACACTACAGCATCATCAACGTACTGGAGCTCAATGATTGAGATCGGGGTGGTCTTGGTTTTTGTTCAGAGTCAGCTGAGATTAAACAGCTTACCATCTGTTCAGTGGTTTACCTCCAGTCTGAGCTAAACTGGTTGACTAAGTTGAGGGCTTTCATGTCATACCACCATCACATGTGCAAGTCCAGAGACAAGTAGGACCAGGCCAGGGAGATAGTTCATCATGCATCCATGTGACCTGGAGCAGATCTGTATATGGATGGTCCCTACCATATGTGTACCTAAGGCTCAGAGTACATTTCTTTATTCCTAAAGCATCACTGCATTTGTGTCCATGCTTAATAACCTTATGGCTTCTGCTTTGATAGTGAATGTGGACTGGATACCAGAGGTTCTAGGATTTTCCAGTTTGAAAGGCAGGAAACTTCTCTTTCATTTGCTTTTTTTTGACACAGTTGGGCAGTTAGTTCTAAAAGAAAAAAGCCCTGCAATATAATATCTGGTTTGCCCACAGATTCTGATCTTTTAATTTCAGGTGAACCAGCAGAGCGTGTATAGCCACTTCCATCCTGCACTGGCTCCAGTCATCTCCACCTTGCAGAATTTTGTGAGCACCAAGAGGTCGTCATCAGATTCTTCCCAGAGAAATTCAGGTATAGTCTAAAGTAGGTCTATCCAACTGGCAGTCCTGGGGCTGCATGTGGCCCGCAAGGTGTTAATTTGCCACACTGGGGTTCCCACCTAGCTGCCACTCCTTCTGTTGTTCTGGCTTCCCTGACTGGAAACCAGGCTCCCTGTCTGTCTTTCAGCTTCCACTTCCTGCCCCTGCCCCAGGGGATGGGGGGCACCACAGCCACAGGTGGCCCAGCTCAGCCCAGCCCATGGTATTGGGGGAGCCCACAACCAGGGAGCTGAAAGTGAGGCCTGGGTGCCACCTGCATGTGAGGTGTAGTGGGTGTGGAGGGGGACGTACACATATGCTGTGTGGCGGGGAAGGGGGACATCTGTAGATCATGTGGTGCAGGGGGCCTGTGGCTTGCACTGGTGCAGCTCACATAACATGCAGCCCCCAGCTACTTTGAAGTTAGACATCTCTGCTGTCAAAATAATGTGTTATTCTGCAAAGACCAACTCTAAACTCCAATATGTTGCCTTTAAAAAAAAAAATCCTATGATAGTTGAATCTGTTTTCCTAATTCATCTCCCATGAGATTTATCCTGATATTCCAAACCCATGAGCAGCTTCCAACAGATGTCATTATTTTTAAAAGTCTGCCAAAGAAGTGCTTCTTCCGTCTCAATATGTAGAATTCCTGTTCCCTTCCTAGATCTGCATTAGGCAAGAAGCTCTTCTGGGTTAGAAACTGCTTTTCCATAAATTAAACTATCCCCACTTTAACATTTTTCTACCTATGATGTCCTGTACATATACAAAAGGGTATGTGTTAATCAAAATATTTCAGTCTTGAAATAATTAAATCATGAAAGGGACTGAGACTATCCTTCAGTAATGTACTTGAAATTATTTTAATTAAAGTTAATTTTTGCTAGCTACAGGCCCAAACCAAACCTTTACAACCAAACACTTAGACTTTTAATTTCCATTCCAAATGCTTTCCTCTAAACCATCTCCATTCTTTCATATAATTGTAATGCTTTTAAATATTGCAGCATAATAATTACAGTTCACAAAGTATCTATGCCAGCTAGCCTGGTTAACTAGATGTCTATTATTTACTAATACAGCACAAATTGGTAAAAAGGAAATCTATAAACCTTCACCAGACACAAATTAGATGTATACAGGGCCTTTTGTGATGGGGACACTGATTTATGAATAATACACTGATTTGTAATTGAGTGAAACGTACAATAGGTCTGGTTCGTAGTCCAACAAAATGCTGCTATTCAATAGATTACGGTGAGCAACTGCTGTGCTACAATGGCCATCACAATGGCATCCATCAAACATAGTGATTGCATCCTCATTTATCACTTGGTACAACAGAAATCCTATCCTTGTCACGTGACCAGTGTTTTCCTGTTTTGGTGTGGGAGGACTCTGTTTCTGCTTAATGATAACTGGCTAGGCAGCAAGAGGCCATTGTCACCTGACAGTGTTATCTCTTAATTATATTATCTCTTAATTACAGCAGCTAATTGTTTGTTTCTTTATTAGTAGGAGCAGATATGGGTCCAAGGACTGTAGAGATAACAAGGGTCAGTGAGTTATTTTCTGTGATTTCTAAAGGGTGGTGTGTCTAATGTTCATTTTGCAGAGTTTGACATGCACAACTGCATTATTATTTAATTAGTGTCTGTACTTTCTGTTTTTATTCATGCCTATATATTGGGACTCTCATATCTGTCAGAAATTACTGGCTTCATACTTCAGACCATTCCTTCTCCAGGTTTAGGGTCCAATCTTGCAAACACTCGGTGTTCTTCATTGTGAGTGTGACATGACTATTGTTATACCTGAAAGTATGTATTTACAAAACCAGGCTCTCAGCTTGTTGCCTGTTATATTCCTGTGATTAGACCTGTGATTTTTGGGGGGAAAGCCGTATGCATTAATTACTGATAGATTCTGCATGAATACAGCTATTGATTGTTACAGTGTGAATAGTCATGATCTCTGTCTTTCTTTTAGGGACTAAATGATGCCCTTGGTATCAGTATAGCAGGAGGGAAGGGAAGCCCATTAGGAGATACACCAATCTTTATTGCCATGATTCAAGCTAGTGGAGTAGCAGCACGTACACAAAAGCTCAAAGTAAGTAGATGGAAGAAAAATGTGTCCTCTCAGCACTTGCTGTTTTATTTAGGAAAGGAGCTGGAAAACCCTTCCCAAACATAGGCCCCTTCTGAAGGGGATGTTGTCTTCTGAACCTCTTCTCTTTTGTTAGTCAGAGATCTTCCTTCCCTTTTATTTCTTTCTCTACCTAAAGAGGTCGTGGAATCTCTCCCTCGCTGTAATATTTGAAGTGCAGATTAGACCTGCGGTTCTCAAATGTCTTAAACTCAACATGCTTCCTCAGAAAATGTCAGCTTTTAGTTCTTAGTCTTTTTTTCATTGAGGGAGAATAGTAGAATGTTGTTTTTGTTGTAAAGAGAGCAAGACCACAACAGGTCAGAATGATTTTGATATGACGGGTTCCTATTTGAAAACTCTGGGCTTATATTGTGAATCACGTGTATGTGTTTGCACAGCTGTCGGTGCCAATATTGAGAACCACTCCACATCACCCTGAAAAGGATCTTATAGCACCCTGGTTGAGAATCACCCTGGTTAAGCAAACATTTGTCCATCATGGTTTAGATAAGAGATGATTCTGCATTGAATAGCCAGTTGGACAGGAAGATCTCTTGGGGTAGGGACAGACATTCACAAAGCCTGAGCCTAAATTGATTCAATCTTTGCAGGTTAGTCTAACCTGCCTAGGTTGAATCAGTTTGTAACTGTACAGACTTTCCCTCGGGGCTGAGGAAATGCAGGCACATGCCTGCAGTGGCTCAGGCTAGAAGCCGGGAGGTGTTAGAGCAGCCCTTCCTTCCCTTCCACAGGCTGAGCTGTGGGGGGCAGGGCATGGCCAGGCCCTGGCAGGATGCTCTGATTAGAGAGAGGTGTAAACCACCACCCTGCCTGCACCATCCCAGGCTTTTCCCCACTCGCTGCTCAAGGGACGGGAGTGTTGCCAGACCCCAGCCCCGGGCTAGCACTCTGAGGCAAATGTGGGGGCGGTGCAGTGCATGGATCTCTTGATGATACCGAACTTTTCAATCTCCCTCTTTTTGCTTCTTCATACTGTTTGCAAACTGGACAGCTGAGGGAGCCAGCAGGGGGCTGAAAACAGTGTTTATCAGCCCATCAACAAAACAAAAGCCTCTCACATTAGTTGAGGCTCTTTTTAAACAGCTTTTTCCAAGGAAGGAGCTGAGGAACAGCAGCTGACCTGTTGATTAGCTCCAAAAAGGAGGCTCTTTTTAAACAGCTTTTTCCAAGGAAGGAGCTGAGGAACAGCAGCTGACCTGTTGATTAGCTCCAAAAAGCCCTAAGTGGATGCTGTTCTGTTTGCCTGTTCCAGTGAAACTACCTACACACACACACACACACACACACACACACACACACACACACACACACACACACACACACACACACACACACACACACACACACCCCCCGCTCTCAGTATTAGCTAGCATACCACATTCCTAGGGTCCATGGGGCCGGGGTCTGTGCTGTGGGAGATGGGAGGGGGGAATCCCTGCTTGAGCAGGAAGCGGTGGGGTGGGGTGCATAGTGGAGGGAGAAGCCAGGCAGACCCAGCTGTGCCTGCAGTCTTTGCAGGAGCTCTGGGTAGGGAGCAGAGAGGAGGGGCCAGCCCTGCTCTCTGGAGCAGAGAGCACAGCCCAGAGCTGCCAAGTATCTGAGATGCTGGGGGCTCTGGTTTAACTTAAACCAGGAAGAGGTTTGGGACAGACATTGCATAAACTGGTTTGACCTAAATCAGTTATGTCTGATACTACATTCAACCAGATTTATCTTAAACCAGTTTCAAAATGGCTAAAACTAGTTTATGTATGCTGAACTCATGTTCTATTACAGGTTTAAACAAGTTTCCGATCACTTAAACTGGTTTATGTGTAATGTCTGGCCCTAGCCTTGAGGTCCCTCTTAAACCTCTTTTTCTGAGTTTGCTACCTTTGTGTGATAACTAGAGTGATTACCTATGTGAAAAAAAATCCAGAAGAGAGAATTTAAAAGTATTTGCCACTGTCTAATAATACAATTTGATAGATGGAAAGGAAGGCAGTCAGCAACCTTTGACCCACCAGCTCTTCAAGATCAGCAGCAGATGCTCTATAGACCCCAAGTAGACCATCTCTTAGAGATTATACAAGGTCAGCATGTCACTGCTTTTACATTGAAAATGATCGTTTGACATTTTCTGCCTTTAAAGTTTCAAAGCAAAATATTTATTACACTTTCCCTTTTACTATTTTGCTTTGTGTACACACGGTAACAGACAAATTCCAGAAAGACAGCTATTATGTTTTTATATGGATCAGCTTAAGATCTACCTAGAAGAAAAATATATGTAGTTTGCACTGGATAGCTTTGGTCCTGATTCCATAGTCAAATCCCCTGGCACAGACTCATATACCCATGAAAAGTCCAAATAATATTAAAAAAATTCTTCAAGGATACAAAGCTTCACCATCTGCATCAATAGTATGTTTTTCAGGCTGAACTCAAAAAAGCTTGTTTGTTCATCATGGACTAAGATGAAAAGCACTTGTCTTCCTAAATGTCTGTCAGTGTGTGCCTACAGTTAGGAGTATGTGCATACAGACTTGTAAGTCTTTTTTCCACGTGGACTGTGAACTGAGTTGCTAATGATATTCTCCCCTCTTGCAAATTTTAAGTAGTAGAATCTGCCCCTTTTTCTTTGATTTGTTCTGTTATTTTTTTTAAATGTGCATTATCCTTGCTGCTCTGAAGAACACTGACTGATCAATGGAAATGGAGCACTCTGACAAAAGGCATACTGTAAAAGAGAAGCATGACTGTTCAGTGCCACGTTGACAAGGAATTTTAAGCATTCTTAATTTTAATTTTCGTTAATGCTAGTAATTTTCCATTTCTCTTGTACTTTTAGGTTGGAGATCGGATTGTAAGCATTAATGGGCAACCTTTGGATGGGCTGTCTCACGCAGATGCTGTTAATCTACTAAAGAATGCTTATGGGAGCATTATCCTGCAGGTATGGTGATAAATTGAACATGCAGCTGCATTAGGGTAGATAAGTGGTGTTCAAAAAAAAAAAAAACCCTACCCTAAGCATCACTGGCACAAGACATCACAGCACAGCGGGGTGCTTGCTGATGGGGATTGTGCAGGATGAAAGCAAGAAATTATTTTCATTCAGAAATTCTTTATTGCCACCCATACAGGCTGTGAGCATGATTGTATAAAAGCATAACAAGGGGAACAAATGACTTGTTGCTACACATGATAAATCAACAAGGCATTTAGCTCCCAATGCCTTTTTTTTTTTAAATCCAAGTTAACTAGAAACATAAAATGACTCCTTTTCACACACTGCTAGGCTGTGACTGAGCTGGCCAAAGTGTTAATTTCCTTGTTCTTGAAAGGAAGGGAAAGTAACTCTAGTCGTGCTTTGTATTACGTAGTCACAAGTACAACAAAAAAGTGTTTGTCAACCAAACTCCAGTGTGTAAATGCTACAGTTGGTAAATGCCAGTTAATCTGGAGGAGCCTGAAGCAGAGGTGGGGAGTGCTCACTAGCTGCAAGGTGGAAAGATGCTGCTAATTATCCCTAATTAATGCACTGATTTACGGCTTACTGGGATTTTTTATGGCAGTCAGAAAATGGTTGTTTGTTACACAATAAAATGGAAGAAATACACTCCCAAAAGTGGTAAAAATAGTGTTGATTTGTTAAATTTCTATAATAATTAGGAACCAAGATTAAAACCTCTCCCCACTGAGTACAGAGGTGGTTAGCCAAAAGTTGACTGTATCATGATAGACTTTTTAGGCTCCTTACTTTGCACTATAACATTAATGTGGGTAAGAAAAGAGTAGGAAGAGATGGAATTCTCCTAGACTTAGTTTTAGACCAGCTGCCTCTCTCTCATATTTGTTCATGACATAGTGACACGGTACATGCTGAGCCAGTTTTCTACCTGGTGTATATTTGCGCAGCTTCAGTGATGTCAGTGGCTCTGCATGGACTTGGACAGACTGAGGATCTTGAAGTTGGTTGTCATTGGTAACATTCAGGGGTATTGCTTTGATATCCATTGTGTGCCGTATGTAGAAAATGTGAAATGAGTTGAGACTAAATGTTGCTGATGTTGAACATAAGTTCTGTCTTGCTATGTATTTAAAAAATGTGTTTCTAATGCTGCCTACTGTCATTAGAAATGAGCCTTTTGTTTAAATAAATGGTCATGCATGTGCCAGCTGGGGTGTTTTCCTTCCACATTTACCACTGCCTTATAGTTGAGCATTTGTTTAATTTCTCTTGAATATTTTGTATTGTTATCCACGATAGACTATAATCTGCTTTTCACAGTCAAAATAACCTGTTTTAGGAAACTAGAATGTTGTATTTTAATACAGTGAGTAAAGCATTCATATCTATCAGTGAAGACTGTAAGAACGATGAGCAGCATATAACTACATTACATGCTAAGTACTGGCACTTTTTCAATGAGTGGGTTACATTTTTATTAAAACTATATAAGTGGAAACGTTCTATCAGTCTGATAATCATGACTGACATATCATTAAGTAATTGTATTTATTATCAGGTTAGACCACCTCATGGCAAACTGCTCTGAAAGGTCAGATAATTGTGTTCAGTGGTGTGGAAAGGCTTATTATCAGGATGTTCTGGGAAGGATGTTAAAGGAGTTTGCAAATGCTGTTTGCAAATGGGAGATTAGGGTCTCAGGGGAACAATCATCCCTTCCGGCTGTTTTGATGCTTCTGTTTCATTTAATCTTCTTTCTGCAGGTGTAGTAATGAGATAAGGAGAAGCTTTTTACAAGGTTGTTGAACTCCGATATATGTTCTTACTGCCAGCTACAGATTTGCGAATATCGATTTATTTTGCCACATTTTATTTAACAAGGAAGTAAGACAGATATTGCAACTTTTCCCCCTACTGAAATATTGGGGTAGAATTGTTGACGATAACTTTGTCTTTTACTCCCATAGCAGCCTATGGTTCCACTTAACCCTTAGCCCCAAGTCAGGGTAGCTTGTGAGACTGAAACCTTGACTCTGAAACTCATAAAGAAGATATGGCCTTCTAGTTTATCCTTGATGGTGGTACAGTGAGCCGCTGTCTCATAGTTCAGGAGACCCAACTGAGACTTTCACTTGCTTTTTCCTAAGCCCTCAGGTGCCAGCTGAGTCTTGGTGGTAGGATGTTAACTCTTGGAGAGGGAAGAGCAAAATCTTTTCAGCACGGCCTTGGTTAAGAAAGAAGGACACTTGTGAGCTTTGTGTTACATTTCCCTCTGTCCCAGGGGGAGAGTAGAAAATGGTACAGACAGTATCTAGGAAGAAGGGAAGGAGGGTAAGTCATCTTTGCTGGAGAAAAATAATATGAGGGTTGGCAAGAATGTGTTGCATTGAGCCCTGTGGCCTTTTATTTCCTTTGAAAAATTAGCCAGCGCTCTAAATTAGCCAACACTCTGAATAATTGCTGCACCATATGTTTCAATTTTCATGTCTTGGGACTCACCTAAAATAAACAAATTCCTACAAGTTTGCCACAGCATAATTTCATTTTTATTTCTGTTTAAAAACCAGGTTTTATCCGGTCATTTGTAGATTTTCGTATTTTACTAGTCTTTCCCTGTACCACCCCTCCTGGACCGTGCACTGCCTTGCGCTGCATGCCTTGGGGTGGAGGAAGTGAATGTTAGCTGTGGCCAAATGAGGCTTTGGATAGGGATGGAGCTGCTTGGCCTCATCCCGTTATCATCCTGTAACTGCTGACCTCCTCTCACCAGCACTCCTTCTGTTGTAAAGAGAAAAAAAGCCCTGAAAAGAAGCAGTGGCTAACATTGAATGGCCACTCAGCATGGTTATTATGGGTGACTTTTTACGTATTTGCTAAACATTCCCAGTAGAAGAACCCAGGCCATTCATCACAGTTGTATGGATACAAAAACAATTCCAGAGTGGAGGCTGTCACTTTTCCTTTATTAATCATGGTGCACTTAGATGGAGCAGGAGTTTTCTCTGCATGGATGGGCCCGTGTGATTTGTGAAACAAGGAGAGAGTATTCAGTAATACAGGGACAGTATTCAGCCCACCAACTAATCCTATCTGGCCTTCTGGCCACTGCCAGGAGCCTGAGGAGGGAGAGCTGCGCCCCATGCCACTCTGCGACATGGTGGGGCCAGGCTGGTACGCACGCATGCACACGCACGCGCACACACACACTTTCTATTGGCGCTGTGGCTGCAGAGTCCTTGCACCACAGCTGGGCCCGCATGAGACAAGGTGCGATGCAGTGTGCCTAGTAGCTAGCCATGATGAGCCATTGCCATCATGGCACTGCTAGGAGGTGAGTCTGTGCCAGACACAGAGAGAGGGGGGCTCAGCCTGGGGCAACCACCCCCAACTTTCCCAGTGTGGCATGGCGGCAGCGGCTCATTGCAGCAGGTGAGTGGGAAGGCTACTCAGTATACTGCATCGCATCCCATCCAATGCAAGCCCAGCTGCCAGTAGTCGCGGTGCCAGGACTGACTGCACAGTGCCAACAGGAAGCCAGGTGGGAACGTGGTGGCTGCAGAGGGTTGGAGGAGTCTGCACGCTGCAGCAGAGCGGAATGGCATGGGGTGCAGCCCTCCTGTCCTCATTCTCCCAGCAGTGGCCAGGAGGCTGGATAGGATCAATAGGCATCTTCCCTGCCCCCCAACCTAAACAGCTCACCAAAGCTCATTAAATGGCCCTCCAGCCCAAATAATGGCCCACCCCTGCAGTACTAGATAGCTATCAAATGACTGCAGGGAGTATGCTTTTTAACTAACTTATAAAATACATCGGTGGAGATATGTTTCAACAAGCCCATGTGAATTCACTGCCTTGTTGCCTGTCATAATACTGTTAAATTGTATTAACTAGTTTGTAGCAGTAGTGAATGATGGCACCACTATAATTCACTGGTTTCTGAACTGGAGGGTATAAAGAATCAGTCTGTTGTCATGAGCAAATGTGACAAGAAATCAAAGGGGCAGAAACATTAAAATGAGGGTCAGATTTGTTACCCTCTAGCCAATAAAAGTCTAGGATTGCAAGGGAGAATGGTGAAGAAAAACTGTGAGGTTCCCATTGCATGCCATCCGATCAGTCCTTTTGGGAGACTTAGCCCCCAAAGGCAAGTCCTAATTTCAGTCCCACAAGTCTCCAGAGCTTTCGCTAGAAGTGAGACGAGTCCTTCTTTTTGGGAGACCTGTGTTTTCATAGTAGCTGTCTTGACCCATTTTGTCCTTGTCCCAGCCCTGGGGCACCACTGGTCACTCCTCCGTGTTCTTTTGACCTTGCCTCCCTCCACCTCACAGTGTAGGGTCTGTGCAAAAGTTAACGTGGTCTGAAGTCTCAGGGCAAAATCTAGCCTCAGATTTGGATAAATATAGTGCTGTCACCTGACTGAAAGGTGGCTGCTATATTAATTTTTCTTCATGAATCAATTATTTGCATTTGATTCAAGTTTAACATAGGAAGATTTTTTTTTTTTCATCTGTAGTTTTGATTCTTAAAAATACCTTTTTCCCATATGGTAGTTCACATTTGCTGCTTCTGTGTTTTACCAGTGAGGCCTATAAGTAATATTATTTTGCATCTGTATTTTCAGGTTGTAGCAGATACCAATATCAGTGCCATAGCCAGTCAGCTGGAGAGCATGTCTGCTGGATGTAACCTTAACACCCCTTCTGACCACCACTCAGAAGATTCAGAGTAAGTATAGACCAACTACTTTTGGAGTATCTGTTTGTGGGACAGAGATTCTGCTCGAAGGATAGTCAAACACTTCCCTTCCCCTAACCAAGTATAGGACTGTGGCCTGAGTCTCTTCACCTGTCATTTCCTTCTCACTTGACTTACAACAACTTTATGTGCTCACTGTCATCTTCTTTAGGATAGTAATGGAATCATATTGGTCTTCAGTGGGTAACATAAACTGGTAATGATAAGCACAAAGTATAGTGGTGTGGTTTTTCCAAGCACTTAATAGATTTCTAAAAAAAAAACCACATCTCTTTTTTTTCCCAGTTGATGCGTTGTGAGAGAGAACCAGAATCATGACAACTTCCTTACTTGAAATGAACCATGGTCATTGCAATCCAAAATTACAGCATCTGTCATCTGTAGAATTGAACAAGTAGCTTCAGAAAATTAGCATTTTAAATGAATGTTGCAAAACGTGCAACAAAACTTTGTGTTCCTTTGTCCCTTGAATCTTTTCCCCTTAACAATGGAAAAGATTATAGAGACAGGTCTGACCACAGATATCCAAATTACAAATGTTCTACCCACCTATTTCATGGAAATATAGTCATCAGAGATGAAAGACCTGTATATGTCATGACATGGCATGATATAACCATGCCTAGTCATGCAGTATTGTTCTTTGCCATACCCTTGTTTTTAGTGCTTTCTCTAGTTTTGCTGTAAGTGTTTCAAGTAACTGGATTCTACCACTTTCCTTTGGGGATTATTCTGCAGTGGATCTCACTATACTGGTATTTTTTTTCTCGATAGATTCATTTATTCTCACCTAATCTAATTTTACCTCCAAAATAATTTCTTTCCATTCCTGGCATTTACTCCTTTCAAATATCTAAAAGCTGTGGTGGTTAGGTTGTTGTCATTTCGCCATGCCCTTCATGTATTTAGCTCTTTAATATTTCTTTAGCCCTTCCAAACTCTCCTTAAGCATTTTATGTCCCTTTTGACATTTTTTGCTATTTGTTTTTCATTTTATTTATTTTAGACAATTGAAATCCAGTTTGGGGTCCTTTGAAGCCTTGTAAACACAAAAAGAAACCTTCTGAGTTCTTTGCTGTTTAGTTTTAGGCCCTTTTCCTTGAAAGCAGTGTCATTTAATGCTGCACCCAGTAGTACTTTTGTTGGCTTTTTCTACACTAAAGTCACAAGGGCACATGACTTTGTAGGTATGATAAAGAATTAGATAGATAAGCACAAATGTTAGCTATTGTATTAAAGAAATGGTGACCTGAAAAAAATCCATCCATAGATAATATGATTTTATATTTTAAGCAGAGATACCCCAAACTATTCTACCCAGAGTAGTTATTGCTAGGCACACGCAACTGCCTTTCTTATATTTAAACTATGATTCTGAAGTAGTGCTGACATGTATAACATGGGTGCCCCTAGTTTCTACGTTTTGTGCTCTGTCCATGGCATGTTGGGACAGATCCTATTCCAGCTATTAGACTTCTAATTGGCACTTAGGCATCCTGAGAAAACCATTACTTTTGTAGTATAACTTCCTCTTTGCCTTAAAACTTAGGTGCAAAAGTGCCCCAACAGAGAGAAGCCCATTTACCCTTTTGTATTATTAATTTCTCACGGTTTTGAACAGGGTGATATACAGTCACACTTGTAAGTCTAAGAGGTGGGATAGGTTCTAGCCACTAGATGCCTAATTACTAATGCCGAAAAATAGAGTAGGATGTAATCCATTGCCTCTAAAATCATATGATGAAATTCTGGTGCCATGAAATAATACTACAAATTCACTACCTGTATAAAGTGGAGATGATAAAGATGGACCTGTGCGAAAGCCAACACATGTAGTATCCATAAACTAGTAAAAGTGGGTCTCAGTCCAGAGTCAGGATCTGCTGTTGCAGAACACCATACTCTCCCTGAGCTGTAGTAATGTAATTATAGACAGCTGAAGCCAAAAGCGATATTGCCTGGGTAGCGTGGTGCACAGAAGTGCATTTCAACATAGGGTCAGAGCTGTGGTTTGTGAAAATATAGAAAACAGTTTACAAGATAAACATCTATTTGAAATTGCTCCTTCTACAAAAAGTCCCCTGTACATCTGTACTGCTCTTCTAAGTGGTATTCATTGTGTTTTCAGAGCACCTCAGCCTAAGATTATTACTTTGGAGAAAGGCTCAGACGGACTGGGTTTTAGTATTGTAGGGGGGTATGGAAGTCCCCATGGAGACCTGCCCATTTATGTCAAGACTATATTTGCCAAGGTATCTTTTTTTTCTTCCTTTATATATAATCTTTTTTAAGAAAATCCCATTAAGTTAGGCATAGATAACAGATCCAGAACAAACACATTTTCCCAAAAGCATGCTGTCTGGGTATACGTGCATTAAGAGTCATTGACTGGACCCAGAGCCTTCTTGTTTCTTGAGGTGGTGCTATTTATACACTTTTGTTTTGTGAGATCTGGGATATACACTAAAACCTATTTCCTAGGGTTTCCTCCCTAGGAAAGCTGGGCCTCATCAAGCCCTCTCTTCCTGCATCAATATTGGAGGTTTGCGAAATATCATAGGCCAGTGGCTGTGTAAATTGTTCTGTATTGTCATGGCACCAAGAACTGCTTCCCTTTGCAAAAGAAGAAAAGACTCTGGAACGGGTCCTCAAATTTCAGAGCCCCCTTCAAGTAACCTCTTATAGGCTCTGCAAGAGCATTTTTAGTCTCTGACTTTCTGTGTAATGACTCCAAAATCTATCAGAGACAGCCCAGATGGAGAGTATGCTGTTGTTATCATCTTTTGGCTCAATGCCTGGAGATTAATGTAGCTCTCTGGTCCTAATGCCATCAGTACGTTCCCAACCTTGATATCACAGCTGCCTGCAGCTGCAGCAACACAACCTACATATGAGGTCATCGGTTACCTTAAGACTTTAGCCATTGAAGCAGTAAATTTATTATTTTCAATGGAACACCTTATGGTGTGTTGCTGTGTTTTACATAGCTGCACCTACAATTTCCTTGGGAATTTGGGAAGAAGAATAGTCCTCCTTTAACATTACGGAGAAAAATAATAACATTTAAAGCTTCCTATTTTGTATAAATATATTCCTTTTCAATGTTCTCTCCCAGTTTGAGTGAGTGGGGTGTAGTCATTCCCAACCAGTAGACAAAGACAGAAAACTAGAGACCTGGTTTTCAGGTGCATCGTGGCTATATACCATTGAGGCAGCAGCAAGGAGCCTTAGAGTGAGTGTGCCAGAGTGGTGTAGTATCCCCCCATCTCTCAACCTTCAGCTAGGTTTCTCTCCAGGCTGCTGTTAGAGGGGAACAGGCCTTTGAGGCCCCAAAGACGCTTTGTGACGTTCTGAGCACTTTTGCACATGTTCTGGGGGCAGGAGAGGTAAGGTGGCACTTTAATTAGAGCAGCTCTCTAATTAAAACGCCACCGCATCTAGTGTATCAGCATCCCTGCACTTAAAAATGGCGGCGGGGGCACTTGAACTAAAGCTCATTTGATGCCATTTTTAAGTGCAGGGACGTTGATACATGAGACGCAGGAGCCTGCTGGAGCACAGTATCTGCCACGCTCCATTAATTAACCCAACATGCTGCAGGCTGAGATTATCTTTATGTAGTACCTGCCTTGAGCAAGTTTGTGTCGGGGCTGACCCCAGAAAGGAAACCAGGTGCAGGATGTCAGCCAGCCAAGATTTACTTAAACCTTTAGAAGTGAATGCAAGGATGGGTCACATTTAGAAGAGGAATATGGGGAGGGGCCTCTCATTCAGGAGCTCTGACGAAGACAAAACCTTCCACTCTCTTTCAAAAGGTTATGCCCAATAAAGCCAGAGGTGATCTAGAAGTCCCCAGCCAAATGACTACCCCTTACACAGTAATGGTGCTTAATTTCCAGAATAAGAGGATAAAGGAAATACAGCCCTGCCACTGCTTTGCAGACTTAACCACTGCCTGAGGAGAGACCGACTCCCAAGGGATGGCACAGCAGAAGTGCTCCCCGCATCCCCATGCAGCATGCCTCTGCCAACACCCTCAGCACTGGCCAGCATGGTATCGTAGCCCTGGCTGCAGAAAAAAGAGTTCTGAATCTTAAAATCAGTAACACATTGAATTAATGTTAGTGAGCCGGGCAAGGTAGTGCTTTATTAAGTAAGGGATACCAAAACAGTCTATAAAAAATTGGTCATGATAGTAAGTAAAATGGAGCAGCTGTAAAGAAGATGGATGGACGAGTGGAAGAGGATGCCAGCACTAGAAGTCCCACCTTTAACAGGAAGTGACAGCACTGGAAATGATAATACGTAGGAATTAAGATGTAGCAGAACCTGGGAGAAGGCAGAGAGCTGAGAAAACTATTGGTGCTATGCAGTAGATTGGGATGTGAGCCTATTTACTCCTAATGATAGGTTTTCTCCACCCTGGGCATGTCTGCACATTGCCCTATGGCAGCATAGTGACACACTACGTTACTGTGTGGTGCCAGCTGCGTGTCTGTAGCAGCACACTCCCTGGATATAGTGCACTGCTATGGTGATGTAGTGGGGAAAGCTAAGTGTGAACTGCCGGCACGGCGCAGTAATCGCATGCTCTGCGCCACGCTTTAGTCCTTCCAAAAGTGCCATAGCGATGTCGTGATATGGGAACGTGTAGATGCACCCCTTCTCTAACGAATTCTTTCTGCTGCAGCTTTTAATTTTAGTACTTGAAATTGTAGATGTACATTGGAAGTGTTTCCTCCATTCATTATTACAGGAGGTTGTAAATATGAAAATGCACACATAGAGAGTAGCAGCATGGTTTTACTTTAAAAAAAAAAAAAAAAAATTACTTAAATAAGAAACATGATGCAAAATTGTTTCAGGGCCTGTGCGTCATAGCCACAGAGCAGGGAACATGGTCTGCTTTCTTGAAATTACCACATGCATACACTGGAATAGAATTAGCTTTAGAATTGCCTCTGCAGAGGCAGAAGGAAAGATTTGAGATAAATATATTGACTTGCTGTACGTATTGCATCATCAGTTGAGGAACGAAGGGCCAAGCAGTATGACATACAGCTTGTACAAAAACTATATCCAGACATCCCAGGGCTCAGAACCTGAATGTGTCAGCTCTAATGTGTTGCATTTTTTGTGTTTGCTCCCTCTCAATTAATGCTTTTATTAAATTACTTCAACATAAAAAGTCTTAATGTAGCAAAATGCATGTTAAAAATACACATTGCAGACTATTGTGAGGTATCTTATACCACAGCTCTTACAGTTCTCTCCTCAATTACTCATGTGGAAATTTGAAACATATTGGGAGTTTTAATTAACATTTAGATTGATAAGTATCCATTTGCTTCCCTTTCCCAGTCTCTGCAGGTATTTTGTAACATGTATCCTCTTTACATTCTTGCTTTTCACAGATCTCCAGTTACAGGTCTTTCTCTTTCCCCTAGGCAGTGCTATCTAGATACTGTTGGTTTGGGGAGAACTGTTGGTTTTCCTCCCTAGGAAAGGTGGCCATGAGGAAGTGTCATGGCATTTGAAGCAGGCCTTCTCCAGTAATACATACGGAAGTTCTGTAGTTAAAACGGGCATTAGGAAATGAAAATGTTATTTTAACAGGCATTTTCAAACATATATTTTCAACCCGTCTCTGTCTCTCTATGTTTCTACATTTTAGTTCTTTCATGTGTTTAGCTGTCTTTTCTTTACCATTTATTTGGTTGGTGCAACCAGGGGTGGATCCAGGGGAGGTGCAATGGTGCCGATACACCTCCTCTTTCAGTTGATGCCACGTGAATAGGAGTTGGGGAGGTCCCTGAAGCAAGTAAGGATTCATAGATTCATAGATGCTAGGGTCGGAAGGGACCTCAATAGATCATCGAGTCCAACCCCCTGCATAAGCAGGAAAGA